GTGGGCTTGTTTACTGGTGCTAAATAGAACAGCTGTGTCAGTTGAGGATCCTGTCACCTGGACAAGGCATTACTGAATGCAGTGAAGCCTGACTTTAGATGCTGATTCGGTACCCACTCACCATCCTCTCAAACCCTTAGCTTTTTCTTCCTCAGAAATTTCGATCTGCAGGTGTCTGAATGAAAAGTACTTATGAGTCACAGTAACAGTGTCAACACTTTCACCAGATTACTGCAATTTAAAGCCTTAAAAAAAAATCACATTTCACTTCAAATCACACTGGCCCCACCAATCTGCATGAATGATGTTGAGATAAATTCAGAGGTTGAGGATTTCATAAAGAATATTTTAAGATATTCCTAACAATCTAAAACTGAGTTGCCAAAACAGCAGCTTTTTCTAAAATGCTTTGTGCTGAGCCTGAAATGAAGCTTTTACTCTTAGCAATTATGTTTTAAGAAGCACTTTAACAGCTTGCTTCTCCTTCATAGAAATCATTCTGGGCACCCAGGTGAAAGAATAGCTTTTGTAAATTCAAAGCAGTGCCGAGGTCAGTGGTTTTCAGCATTAACTGCACATTGAAATAATCTGGGCAGCCTTTTAAAAATAGCTATGCCCAGCCCTTTCTGATTACTTGGTCCAGGATGGGAAACTGGAATACTATGTCTTAAAAGCTCCCCAGATTCTAATGCACAGACAAGATTAAGAATCATCTGCTGACAAGAATGGCTTGGGCCCAACTTCCACTAACACATTTCTTTTTAGGATCTTAATATGAAGCAAAGGCTGTAGAGCACACTCTCTTCAGCCCAAGGGCTGATAATTTAAAAAAAAAACACAAACTCATAATTTGTTTACAAATTACTCATGTAAAAATAAAACGCCTCCCTTCCATGATCCTTTTCACTGAAGCCATATTCAGTTCCTTGCTGTCAGGACAGATTCTCCTAAGTCACATTTAAGCTCTATAAACCAGGTAAATGTTCCAAAAATACAATACTTCAGCATTCAAACTGATCTCCCAGACTGCCACCTACACCGCGGACCGTACACAAATTTCTGTCATATCACACTTCTACTTGTTGGTTTTGCAAAATAGCATCACCAGATCTACCTGCAGTGTCAACACTTTCCTTTTTTTTTTTTTTCTGTCTAATCTTCAAAGGCCACACGTCCCTTTTCTCCATAAAGCAGTGGTTCTCAACCTTGGCTGCACATTAGAATCACCTGGGAATCTTTTTAAAATCCTGATTTCTGGGCCTCATCCTCCGGAAATTCTGGGCCACAACATTAGTAACAAAGAAACAGAATTTCCAGAGGATGAGGCCCAGAAATCAGGATTTTAAAAAGATTCCCAGGTGATTCTAATGTGCAGCCAAGGTTGAGAACCACTGCCATAAAGCCTTCCCTGGTCACGTTAGGCCCCACTGATTTCTTCCTAATATGAATTTATAGCAGGGGTCCTCAAACTACGGCCCGCGGGCCACATGCAAATACAAATATTGTATTTGTTCCCGTTTTGTTTTTTTACTTCAAAATAAGGTATGTGCAGTGTGCATAGGAATTTGTTCATAGTGTTTTTTAAACTATAGTTCGGCCCTCCAACGGTCTGAGGAACAGTGAACTGGTCCCCTGTTTAAAAAGTTTGAGGACCCCTGATTTATAGTCTCGACCACTTCTTGGCATCTGTTGTACTTCCATTTAAACTTTCACCCACTTTGGGGCCTGTTTGCCTAACCACCTTGGGGACAAGAACTTTTCACACTTTTTTTGTATCAGATTCCAGAACAAAGGCTCAGAATATAAATGCTTGGATTCCCACTATCAAGTTATAACTTTCTGACCCTCTTTACCTCTCCAATTTTTTTTTCTTAAATATATTTTTATTGATTTGAGAGGGGGAGATAGAAACATCAATGATGAGAGAGATTAGCTGCCTCCTGCAGGCCCCCTGCTGGGGATTGAGCGGCAACCCAGGCATGTGCCCGGATTGGGAATGAACCGGGGACCCTTCAGTCTGCGGGCTGATGCTCTACCCACTGAGCAAGACCAGCCAGGGCTCTCTCCTCAACTCTGAAACTCCCTTTGCAGCGGTTCTCAACCTGTGGGTCGCGACCCCTTTGGCGGTTGAACGACCCTTTCACGGGGGTCGCCTAAGACCATCCTGCATATCAGATATTTACATTATGATTCATAACAGTAGCAACATTACAGTTATGAAGTAGCAACGAAAATAATTTTATGGTTGGGTCACAACATGAGGAACTGTATTTAAAGGGCCAGAAGGTTGAGAACCACTGAAGAGTATACCTTGACTTTCTCTACCAATTGACCCCAAGCCAGCACACATGCAAACACTCTATGTCAATTGGTCCTCCGGGAAGGAGAGACCAAAATGAAACCAGAATAGATGTATTGAGTGAAAGATGGGCGATGAAGGAGGGAAAAGCATTCTCATACAGGTCTGAAACCTAGACGAGGAGCAGTGCAGCTCTGAGACATCTGGACCAGCCAATGGAGAGCCACAGAGCAAAGGGAATCCGACAGAAATGGGCCAAGTGTCGTCCCCATGCTGTGCTCAGTCATTGGCTGGACGCAGTCCAGGAAGAACATGGCAGAGGCACACACATACACATGTGACACTTCCCAAATTTTGTTTGACACAATATATTTACTTTGCATTTTAATAGTCTTCAGTGTGGCTTTGCCTCATTTCCTTCCGATGTACATACACACACACATACACATATATTTACATATAACTCATTCCATAAGTATTTACTGAGTTTCTCCTCTCATCTGTATTCGATGATACAAATAATCTGGTTTCAATTCCCATTTTCCAGCCTTGATGCTATAATTTTTTCTCTCTCGGTTTTATTTACCTCTAATATTTCTAGAGTAAATCTGGGTCATTTTATCCAAAGCATACAGATAGCTTATAAAGTTTCTATAGTTTCACCTCTGGGAAAACCTGTTGCTTTTACTCATCATGTGGCATATTGTGGAATATTTGAATCTTACCACTCCAAGCTCCGTCAGAATTCCAACATTATCTGAGTGTTAAGTATTAAGAAGAAAGAGCTTACTTCTCTTCCTTTGTACATAACCTACATTTTCTGCTTGAATATGTGGATATTTTTTTTAAATCCCTGAAATGCAAATGTTTTTTCAGTGTACATTTATGGGTAAGCCCTACCCTTTTTGGTGTGTTTTTCAAATGTTGCCTGGAAATTTAAGGGCCTCGTTATTTACAGGGTTGGACCTTTTTTTTAAAGCAGGAATTATTTCTTTAATATGTTCAATAATCCAATAACCGCTTCTATACCCATTATTCTGTTCCTTTGCCTAGATGCAAAAGCAGGGTGCAATTACTTTTTATCTGAAAACATACTGTAAATAATTATTCTCATGCTTTTCAGTGTCAGTTTGAAAGTCCTAAGAGCTATTGTGCTGGCCTAAGCCCTGCTTTTAAAGCATCATCTTGAAATTGGTCACCCCATTCCTTTACTTCTATTTCTTCCACAGTCTCAAGCACTCCTCTGGGAAGCAGAAAGAGGTCTCCTAATCATCTGGGTTTCATTAAGTGTCTAATAGACTATAGGAGAAAGCCAATTCTCTGTTTTCCTAACATTTCAGCCGAGTACCAGAATTTGGGGCCAAACAAATTACAGCAAACCATTTTCTAATAGGAAAAAAATATAATGCCTCGGGAGTTCTATAATGTCCTAAACAAAGCAAAAACAAAATAAAAAGCAGCCTTGAGTGTTTAGTGTTCCTATTTAAAAGACTCTTCCTCCATAAACCAAGTGCAACTTAGTTTATCTCAAAAAAAAAAAAAGAAAGGGTGACTCAATGTGGCTGTAATTTGAACTGTACAGTTCCAGGGAGCCTCCCCACTTCTAACCTGAGATGTAGACCATGAAGCTGTGTCCCCCAGTGAATGCAGTTGCCTCTTTTATTTCCTTAGTTAAAAATGTCTGAGTCACTATAAGCCAAACACTGCAAGAATCTTGAAAAGAGCATTAACTTGGCATTGATTGATTGGGTGGGATGTTGGAAACTGTTCTGGTCCCTGAAAATTTGGAAAGACTTTGATTCTGCGACTATCAATGGGGGAGATTATGAAGCGATTATCATCTTCATCTCTCAGCCTGAAAACCCTCCCCATCGCTCCTCCCTGCCTCCTTAATGGACCCTTCTGGTTGCTCTTAAAAAAAGTATGTGTACACAGAGAGACACCTGAAAAAAACTGAATGACCAAGGCTTTATTTACAATGTGTAATCAGAGGAGACCACAGTGACACCTGTACGTTGTGCCTGAATGATAGCATTCATTTATTTATTTATTCACTTATCCACCAAACATCTCCTGACAACGAAAATAATTTTATGGTTGGGTCACAACATGAGGAACTGTATTTAAAGGGCCAGAAGGTTGAGAACCACTGGACTAGGGCATCGTCCTACCAAGCATTCTCGGGTACTATTACTGACTTTTGAGGTTCTGCAACTTGTGCCAAACAAAACCAATTAGATTCCTGTCCTTGGTGACTGGGGTTTTTTGGCTGGTCTGCCTGCTTATCGCCTTGACAATGTTCCTCATTTCGCCCCTCAAAATCTCAATTACCTTTATATCTGGACAATGTCCATAAACAGGGCTTCTTTCCAACCAGCACCCCACTTCTAACGGGCCCCATTCCTTCCTGGAAGGCCCATTTCTAAGCCCTCGTTCTCTTCCCTAAGATGGCACCGCAAAGCCGGGGAAGGAGCGCGTCCCACCCACGCAAGGCCGCCATCCTCCCGGGCCCAACAGGACGGACCTGAAGGGAGGGGCTGATCTGCAGACAGGGAAGGAAGGGCCAGAGGAGGGCGCACCAAGGAACACAATGGCTGCACCCGCAGCCCCAGCCAGAGCGGAGACCTACGTCACCGGAAGTGGGCCCCACCCCTAACGTCAGGCGCCGGAAGGGAGCGTTGCTAGGGCACGGGGTGGAGGCGACTGTGTGGAGAGCGCGTCTTGACTCAGGTAGGGGCGACGTCGCGGCCCTGGCTCCGGGCCCCCAAACAACGCACCTTCGGCGGGGGGGCCCTCGCCAACTGTTGTCCCCCCTTCACCCCCAGGCCTCGCCTGGTGGGCCTCCGCGCAGCTGTTCGACTGCAGGCCGTTCCCGCTTCGTCCCCTCGAGGGCCTCCCGAGGTCCTTTGTCTACAAACAAGTTATCCGCCTTCCCCGCTTCCCCTGTTCAGTCCCGTTGCTTAAATCTACTCCGAATGTTCTTTTTAAAGAAAGAAAAACGATGTTACCGAGCCCCAGCTCTGTTAGTGTAACCGGTTACCTCCGGCTACATTCACCCCCAAACTGGAACTACGTGGTGTCATTGGCCCGTTTCAGCGCGGCTCGTACCTGGGAAAAGATAGAAGGTCCCGTTAACAGTTTGCTGGGGACGACACCTGAATGGACAAGGCTGACGAGGAGCCACGGATTCCAGTGCCCTTGACCTGCCCTAATTAGTCTTTTTGCCCCCAAAGGATAGGATGGCGTTCTACAGGTTGTTGAATCCCGTGCCGGTCATTCCTTTAAATGCCTTAAAATCCAGGAAGATAATGCTTGGCTCTTCCTTCCAAACCTCTTTTATTTTGATTTTAAAAGTATAGAGTGACCGTGTACAAGTAAAACATGTCGAAAGAAAGGTCAGAATTTCTTAATCCAGACATAACAAGTGTTTTTACGACAGTTTCACTAATGGTTGTAATTAACAGATGGGCTCTGCGGCCAATTACTAAACTAGGGTTCCAGCTGGTCACTGGTATTTCTTTTCGTGGATTCCAAGGCTGCTTATGTCATAGAATGGGGGGGAAGGGGTGTGGAATTGTAGGAGAGGCCAAAGGAGAGCTGACTCCAGAGGCAGTAACTGTAAATCAAGCCAGTTTGCAGAAGGTTCTTACAGGGTGGTTTTATATAAATTTAGGTTGTTTCCCCCCATAATGATAAGTGTATTTAATCACAGTGCTCAGTAGGAGGGATCTCTAGGAGAAGAGAATTCAAACTACAAAACCAATTCTTGTCTTTTCACCTCCCACATTCCCGTTGCAGACCTGTTCTTTTATGGGTCTGTTATCCATAAAATGGGAAGTTCTTTAGTCCTAACATTCAGAAGTTTTACCTCAAAGCATAGAGGGAATGACTGTTAACCGGAGAGATTAAATAACCACGTCTGCTCGTTTTAGCATAGGAAATGGGGGGACCGAGGGGAGGCAAAGCATCAGTGGAAAACCTGTGGCACTTCCTGATCACGTTTAAGGAAAGTCATAGAAACAGTAAGGGAGAACGTCGATGGGAGGCATTGAGTGTATAGACTGTCTGACAGGCTTCCAGCATTCCCAAGTGTCAGAGGGGAGCAAGACTGGCAGCCTTTCCATCCTGTATTTTTTTAAAACAACAGTATTCTTGTGGTCTTGATTTGCCCACTCTAATGTTAAATAGCATCAAACCCTAACAGATGGTAAACAGTGATTGGCTACTGTAATGGCACTTAACGTAGACTGACATCCCCTGAATACATTTTAAGTTAGTAGTCAGATGTGGTTTTTCTTAACTATTTGGGAGCCCTATAATTTATTCTAAGAGTGTGAATTAAGCCATGATATTGAAATGCTTTAAAGTAACAAAGAATGCTTTAAAGGGGGAAAAATATGTGAGGGAGGAGGGCACTAAAGGTTTCTCATAATGAACTTGGGTAGCTTCAATCCCAGTTTGACACTACCTCTTAGGGCCACCTTTACGTACATTTCATTTCTGATTCACTGAACCACTGCTTTTTCCCCCCCTCCCCAGCACTTGGATTCGGCTCCTTCATTTCCAACATGGAAGAAACTTACAGTATGTACTTCTTATTGCTTTTAGAAAATAAGTTAACTTGCATACAATTTTATGTCTGACAGGACTTCTAATGTGTGGCAAAGATTCATATTTCTCCTAAACTGTTGAAGAGAAACGGTCTGTGTGATAGTAATGTAGAGAAGTGCCCAAATTTGAAATAAGATATTTAAAATTTAAATAGTTAAAGAGGTATGAGAAAACTTTGAAAAGGCTGCAACTGGGACACCTGTTTTCTTTCTATTTTGAGGAGTAATATGGTATACATAATGTTGATATAGATTGAGTTTTTAGGATTAAAGAAATCCTAGGGAATATTCTTATTTCTCAAGTGACCTAGGATTCTTAGATGGCCAAGGAAATCAAAAGGGAGCCAGCACTAGAATCACACAAGTGTAGAACCAAAAGAGACCTGAAAATGACTTTATTTAACATTCAAATTTTGCACTGAGAAAACAAAACCTAGAATAATTTATTTGCCCAGGCATATACATCAATATTGCACTCTTAGGTATCGGCCAAACACAAATACTCATACAATGCACAAAGAAGTATATACTAGATTGTTAGTCACAGCATCTATACTAATAAAAGGGAAATATGCTAATTAGACCTGACATCTTCCGGACATCCTTCCAGACAAAGCCATGGTGGTGGGGGCTGAGGCAGTTAGGGGGCGATCAGGCTGGCAGGGGAGCAGTTAGGGGCATCAGGCCAGCAGGCAGAGGTGGTTAGGGGCAATCAGGCAAGCAGGCAGGTGAGCGGTTAGGAGCCAGATTGCAAGAGGGATGTCTGATTGCCGGTGCATGATCGGGTCTAAACCAGCAGTCGGACATCCCCCGAGGGGTCCTGGATTGGAGAGGGTGCAGGCCGGGCTGAGGGACCCCCCCCCCCCCCGCCACCTCCACCCCCGTGCACAAATTCCATTACATGACTACTTGTATATAAAAGTAAAAACTGTCCCTGACCGGTTTGGCTCAGTGGATAGAGTGTCGGCCTGCAGACTGAAGGGTCCTGGGTTCGATTTCGGTCAAGGTCATGTACCTTGGTTGCGGGCACATCCCCAGTAGGGGGTGTGCAGGAGGCAGCTGATCGATGTTTCTCTCTCATCAATGTTTCTAACTCTCTATCCCTCTCCCTTCCTCTCTGTAAAAAATCAATAAAATATATTTAAACTTACTCTCTGTAAAAAATCAATAAATATATATTTTTTAAAAATAAATAAAAGTAAAAACTGGAAACAACCTAAATGTCCATCTGTAAGGGAAATTATTAAGAATCTATGAGCCCTGGTCAGTTTTACTCAGTGGTTAGAGTGTCAGCCCTCAGACTTAAGCGTTATGGGTTCGATTCCCAGTCAAGAGCATGTACCTCGGTTTCGGGTTCACTCCTAGCCTCTCCCCTAGTTGGGGTGTGTGCACGGGAGGCCACCAGTAATGAAATATTCCTTATATGGACTCACAAAGAAGGAGCACAAAGATATGTTAATTTAAAAAAAATAAGGCAGCCCTAGCCGGGTAGCTCAGTTGATTAGAGTGTTGTTCCATACACCAAAAGGTTACAGATTCAATTCCAGGTCAGGACACATACCTAGGTTGGGGGTTCCTGTGGGAGACAGCCAATGGATGTTTCTCTGTCTCTCGCTGCCTCTCTCATCCTCCCTCTCTCCCTCTCTTCCCCTTTCTTTCTCTCTAAAATAAATAAACATATTCTCTGGTGAGGATTAATTTTTTTTAATTTTTTAAGCAAATAGCAAAAATGGGTATAGGAAATCCCATCACACACCACAATATGGAGGAAACTTGGACATTATACTAAGTGAAATAAGTCTGTCACAAAAAGACAAATACTATGATGAAGTATCTAGACTAGTCAAACTCAGAAACAGAAAGAAGAGTGTTTGCCATGGTTGGGTGGAAGAGGGAATGGGGAGTTGTTTAATGGATATAGAGTTTCAATCTTGCAAGGTTAAAAAAAATTCTGGAGATTGGTTGCACAACAACATGAATATACTTAACTCTATTGAACTGTACATTTAAAAATGGTTAAGATGGCAAATTTTATGTTGTATATATTTTATAGCCATTTAAAATTTTTTAATTAAAAAGAATATAAAATTTTAAATCTAAAAAAACAGGTTAGAGCTAACCTAAATTACTAGAGACCAAAAAGTAAAGCATTTATGGTAGAAAACTATCATTATCAAGTCTGACGTATGCCACTGTGTGGGCAGTAAAGTGTGTATGAATCATAAGGTATGTCCAGTTCTGTCAGCTGCAGACATGGCTTAACATTTGCTAGTGATGGAATGGACTAAATGAAAGGATTTAATATGAATTTCATCTGTGAACTCTCCCTGGGTGTCCTGAAGCTTCAGAGGAAAAGATTGCTGGTCAGGATACGCCTGGTTGGCATAATAAGCCTGCCTGTCCTCTAAGATTTTTCCTTCCTATTCATTCTGTCCTTCATGTCACCTCTCTGGCTCATTTACATCATGGTCATGGTTCGCAATTTATTCCATGTTTACCACTCTTCAGTGAAACTGTCTGTTTCAATTCCCCACTAGCTTCTGATTTTCATAGCAGTCTCCTGGTTTATAAGCCTTTTATCAAATGTGAATTGTTTATCTTATTTCACTTTTATCATTGCCTTTAGTGGGGGCAAAAGCATTTTATTAGGTTGCTTCTCATCCTCATAATATACTGAGAATGTGCTTAACCATTTAATTTCCCTTCCTTAACCAGGCTATTAAAATTTGGGGCTCAGCCTGGGCATCTTGTAAAGCCTAAGGGTAGTTACATGTTCAGAGGAACTTCTCTGAGAGATATGTTCAGAGAAATTTCCACAATTCCAAACTATGGAAATAATCCCTGAAAGTATAGCCTTCTAAGGGTAGGTTTAACTAGCATGATATAAGTTAGGGGCTTTCTTTCACATAGCAGCTTCATATGTCTGCAGGTGTCTTAACTTCAGGAGGCTCTGTGTTTGCAGATTATTCTGTTTTTTTAATATGGCAAATTCGATAATCACTAAATTCTGATTTTTTTCATGTATTAGAATACAAAAGGTAAAACTACTTATCTAATAAAGGTATTGGTTTCGTTTGAGAGGTAACTTGAGTAACCAAGATCAGGAACTACTTATAGTAGTAATGAATTAAAGCAGACAGGTGAAAAAGAAGTCATCTATCAATGAATATTTCTCAATCTTTCATAGGACATATCACTGATATAGAGCAGTGCTTTTTTCATGTCATGGCATACTAGCAAATAGACAGGGATGCTTTTGAGCAGGAGTAACTATCCTCAACTTGCCCTGGGACTGTTAAGGTATGGAACTCATGTGTGTGGACACCTACATTGAAATATTGGCACCCCATCCATTCCAACCTTCAGCATACTAGTTGGGAGGCTCTGGTTGGCTAGCTAGACTATAAATGACCCTGAATTAGCACTTTTAGAAAAGGAAAAAGAGAATGTCATGTCATGTAACTTTTTGTTTAATAGTAAGGATGACCAACAATGAAAACAATATTTTTTTTCTTTTTTATATTTTTATTTATTTCAGAGGGAAAGAGAAATTGAAACATCAGTGAGAGAGAATCATTGATTGGCTGCCTTCTGCATGCCCTACACTGGGGATTGAGCCCACAACCTGGGCATGTGTCCTGACCAGGAATCGAACAATGACCTCCTGGTTCATAGGTTGATGCTCAACCACTGAGCCATGCCAGCTGGGTGAAAACAGCAATATTTAAATACAACCAAATATGAGCTAAGACCTTATCCCTTGATCACTGGTTTTGCTGGACTTAACACAATTTTATCTTATCAGAGTTAAATGTTCATTTTCAAATGTTTAATTACACTTTTATTTAAATTTCAAGTTGTTTTCAGATTGTCTTATTCTATTGTTCCAGATTCTGTTGGGAAATACATTGTGCTTTTAAAAAAAAAAATGAGAAAATACATTGCGCCTGCCCTAGCCGGTTCAGCGTGTGGTCTGAAAGGTCCCAGGTTTGATTCCGGTCAAGGGCACATGAATGGGTTACTGGCTCCATCCCCAGTAGGGGTCGTGCAGGAGGCAGCCAATCAATGATTCTCTCTCATCATTGCTGTTTCTATCTCCCTTTCCCTTCCTCTCTGAAATCAATAAAAATATTTTTAAAATAAATAAAATGCTTTAAAAGAAAGACAATACATTGTGCCTGTAATCCTGTAGTTTTCCAAAGACCTATTAAGCTTTATACTTATCCTATTTCTCTCTCTCTCTCTCAGTCGATTCCCTGGACCCTGAAAAGCTATTACAATGTCCCTATGATAAAAACCACCAGATCAGAGCCTGCAGGTTTCCTTATCATCTTATCAAGTGCAGAAAGGTAGGGTATTATTTTCATAATTTGCCGTGTGATACCCTCTGAGTTGTTTTTAAAAAAACAAATTCTGTAAATATCAGATAATTTTAACGTGTTAAATTGAATTTCCAGAATTGTTTTGGGAATCTACCTTTGTATTAAATACCAACATTTATAGAAAGGAGTTTGTTTACTTCTTGGGTACATCAGTTTTTTTCTATTTTGTGTCCCCCCTCCCCCCCAAACTAGTGATAAGCACCCATAGTGATAAACAGCTTCTCTGGAGTCTTTTCTCCCTTTGTAAAAAGAGGAAACACTACTTTTTGCTAGCAATGAGAAAATCCCTTCTGCCTTGTGAAATTAATGCTGATAAGGATTGTCCTGATAAGGATTGAGTCAATAATACATTGATTTTCGATATTTTTGGTTATAAATTTTAGAGAAGTTGAACAGTTAGAGGTTAGCCCAAGAAAAACTTATTTCTAAAATTAACTTTTTTTCCAAATTTCGACAGCATCTTTGAGGGGGAAAATAAAAAACAACTTATTAGTGTTTCTTCTCTGGTCATTCTTTTGTAGACTTAGCTGATGTAAACTACTTTAAAGCTGGTATAGTAACTGAGGCACTTTGAAAAGATTGTTAGAATGCTGATGTCAGATACAGAGGCCAAAGTTCTGCCAGGACTGATGCTTGGGAAACAGTTTTGGTACTTAATCCAAACTGCATACGATTTATATATGTATTAACATCCTTTCATGACTGTTTCTCTTGTAGTCCTGGAGATGATTATAATGCCTATTTTTATTTCTCCAGCTCTTTTTAATCTTTTGAGCAAAGATCCCTTAAAGTTGAACATGGACAGTATGGATCTGAATATACCACCACAACGTCCTCTTCTAATGCACCTAATCTTTGGCCACAAAACCTTTGCATTGGAATACCTGATATCCCTTACAAAAATCATGGAGACAAATGCCCTCACAATTTTCTCCACCCTCTATTTTTTTTCCCAGCCTTCTCCCCATTTCACATTATTTTTACTTTTTTTTTTAGTATTGTATGATATGTTTTTCTTCTCCTATTAAGTAAATTTCTTAATTGCTGGTATATTACCATAAGATTTGAGTAACATTAAATACTTTGTTTTGTTTTAATAAGAAACTTGGTCAGCAGAGTAGATCATTTGGGCTTTTCCTTAGTGAAATAACTGAAATAAAGGTCAAATTGTTCAGAGCCTCATTTCAGGCATCATTACTTTAAATAAGTGTTCCCAAGTTAATCTGAAAAATCACTGGTTTGCTTCTTCTGCAGCTCCCTTCTAACAATTATTTTCCAGCCCTATTGTATTGCAATAACAGGGCCACTACTGCAGTGCAGACTGGGAATGTGTTTTAGCATTACTGTGTATCCTCAATATCAGCTTTCAAAGACATCCAAAGAGCTCTACCATTACATGCTGTGCCACTTGAATCTCATGACTCTGAAGAACAGGGAGAGAAGATGTGGTTCAAATACCCAATTCTAAATTTGCTCTTTACCTCCACATAAACCGCTTTAACCCCAAAATCTGTGTTGTCAGTCTCTATAGTCATAACAAAGAGGCTTATGTTTTGATGATTTTGAGATATTATATGGTTTGTATGAATGATAAAAAAGATTCCTCTTAGTTTTCTACTATGAATTTACCTATCATAGCTAAGCTACAAGTTTATTGAGAGATTTTAGGGGAGCCATTTATAGATAAAGCTGAGCCATGCCCCTTGGACTTTTAAGAGGTTCGGAGAATTGATAGACCCCTTAATTTTTGTTCCACAGAATCATCCTGATGTCGCAAACAAATTGGCTACTTGTCCCTTCAATGCTCGCCATCAGGTTCCTCGGACCGAAATCAGTCATCATATTTCAAGCTGTGATGACAAAAGTTGTATAGAGCAAGACATTGGTAAGACTGACTAGCTGAAATGTTTTGGTACTAGAGGTTAGCCCCTTTAAATTTGTGTTATGCTACATTGTCACCTTGATTTTTGGCTTTCCATATTGAAGAACACTTTCAGCAGGAAAAGGTTGTCAGGTTGTGTTTGTCAGAATGCTTTCTCTTCTAAACAACCTGATTCACTTTACCAATAATTCATCTAACTAAAAAAATCCTTTTCTTGCCACAGATATGATAAATATCTTTGTTTCTGCTATTTCTTTCATGTCCTCTGTCAGCAAGGGGATAAGACCACTCTGTTTATCTTTGAGAAACAAAGACCCATTGGGCTACCCTGCAACTTCTTTAGCCTCTAACCCCTTTAAACATAACTTAGCAATGTCCCGTTCTCATGTCAGAATCTCTGTTGTCTTACAGTCAACCAAACCAGGAACCTTGGACAAGAGACTCTGGTTGAGAGCACATGGCAGTGCCCTCCTTGTGATGAAGACTGGGATAAAGGTAATTGCTTCTGCATCTTTTTCTGCACAATATCTAAATCTCAAGGCATTTGCTTTAGACAGAAGGAAGATTTTCCTGTTTTATGGACATGCCATGTTTTGTAGAATGCTTTGTTATTTTTATTGGGCCCCAAAATGAGCACATTTGTATGGCTGTGCAGACACGTGGAACAGCCTCTCCTTCTTGATTGGAAAAAGCACTTCTTTACATCTGTTTTTTTCCATAAATTGTGCTATGCCATCTGTGTTTAGCTGTTTCTAGGCACGTTTATTATTATTTATGTCGTTTGTGTTTATATTCTTCAATTAAATTCCTGCTACTGTGTCACTTAGGCAGGGTACTTGATCAATTTTTACTTCCTTCTCTAAACTTAGGTGTATTATTTCCCATCTTACAAATTCAACTAACATAAACTGGTGTCTTATACCACAAACTATGTTTTGCTTCCTTTGGCAGATTTGTGGGAACAAACCAGCACCCCATTTGTCTGGAGCACAGCCAACTACTGTGGCAAGAACAGGTAAATGAAATTGTCTCATTCCCAGCACTGTCTCCCAAAATCAGAGGGCTTTGTTACCAAAACGCCACCAAAGCATGAATTGATCTTTCCTTGATGACGTTACTTGGTAGTAACTTAGTCTAGATATTGTTTTGGTGGATTATTTTTCTTATTTCTTCCTTGATTCATAAAAAGGTCACATGCTTTGTGTAAATCACTGTGTGAACACAAAAATACTAGCTTAGAGTCTAGCAAAGGAGACAGTGGTGCCAGATATTCTTATGTCTTAGTTGAGTTTTTCACTAGGTTCATATTATTTTAATGCTTTAAAAAAATTCCCCAGCTATACTACGTGGATCATTTTTACTCTTGGTAACTAGTGTTTAAGGAAAAAATAATCTTAAGAGTTGTTTGTTTGTTTAAGAGTAGGGAATCCAAAATGCATCTCTTCTTCCCACTGATTTTGCATACAATTTTGAAGTCTGTAAGATTTCTCATTATTATTTTATCTTTAAACCTTAGAAGATCACATTTCAAATCCAAATGAGAATATTTCTGGATTAGAAAATAAAGGACTGAGATGTTAGACTTCATTTTTCCCCCAATTGAATACTTATCCATTTTTATTTCTTAGCTCCTGAGGTCAGCTAGTATTGTAACTGTACCTTATTTTGTGTGTGCACTAAGATAGAAAAACTTAAAAATGAATTTCACTAGTACAATTTTAATTTTGCCTCAGTTCTTTGAGATTTGTTGCCTTTAGTTTGATTGTCTTGGCATTTTATTTTATCTCATGTTTATTGAGTGAATTGATGTGTTTGTCATACAACTGAACAGTAGATGGCATTACTGTTTATATAAATTTCTAAGAAATGAAAATACTTAGACCCATCTTAATGCCTGTACAGAACAGTGAGCTTTCCAGAGAAATGGTAATCATTCTAATTGCGAGAATGTTTTGATGGAAATGTGTTTACATTTCATAATGTAGTCTGTTTTGTTTTACCCCAAATTACAAAAAACACATTTTGATTGTCTTGTGTGTGCCTGCCTGAAGAATGCTGGCATAGTCAGATTTATCTTTCTTTTTGCAGCCCTGCAAGCAACATAGTTATGGAACATAAGAGTAACCTGGCTTCAGGCATGCGCGTTCCCAAGTCTCTGCCGTATGTTCTGCCATGGAAAAACAGTAAGTGTAATGAGACAGAATGCTTTTATTATTTTCTTTGTGCTAATAAATGTAGTTAGTCTTTATATTCAAAGACATGTTTAGTCTGAATACCTTGCACTCTCACAACCCTGAGAATGAGCAGCTCTTAAATTTTACACCCTAAGGCAGCGGTTCTCAACCTGTGGGTCGCGACCCCTTTGGCGGTCGAACAACCCTTTCACAGGGGTCGCCTAAGACCATCCTGCATATCAGATATTTACATTACGATTCATAACAGTAGCAACATTACAGTTATGAAGTAGCAATGAAAATAATTTTATGGTTGGGTCACAACATGAGGAACTGTATTTAAAGGGCCAGAAGGTTGAGAACCACTGCCCTAAGGGCTTCACTCAGTTCACCCTAGTCCTGGTTCTGGTTAGTATCGGGAAAGTGCAAGATCACAGAAACCAAAAGAATATTTTCAAGATAGGGTGACCACTGACATCAAATACCATGAGTAAATTTGGGGAGCAATAAAAAGACTATTGCCCTGCCTGGCTACTGTGGCACAGTGGTTGAGTGTCAACCCATGCACCAATTCCTGGTCAGGACCCATGCCCAGGTTGTAGGCTCAGTCCCCAGCAGGGGGCATGCAAGAAGCAGCTGATCAATATTGATGTTTCTCTCTCATCAGTCTTTCTATCTCTCCCTCTCCCTTTCTCTCTCTCTCTCTCTCTAAAATCAATAAAAACATTTTAAAAAATAAAATAAGTAAGAACATATTTTTTAGAAGACTATTGCCCTGACCAGTGTGTCAGTGGTTAGAGTGTCAGTCCGAGCACCAAAGGGTTGCAAGTTCATTTCCTGGTCAAGGTCATGTACCTGGGTTGCAGGTTCAATCCCTGGCCGTGATTGGAGTGCATGCAGAAGGTAACCAGATGATGTCTCACATCGATGTGAGGTGTTTTTTTTTCTCTCTCTCTCTCCTCCACACCTCCTCCCCCTCACTTCCTCCCTTCTACTCTCTCTAAAAAAATCAATGGAAAAAATATTCTCAGGTGAGGATTAACAACAACAAAAAAGACTATTGATTTTGGTTAGGAGGAAGTCATCCTTGACTTTCAAGACATAAGATCAATAGGGAATTGGGATTAGAAATTGGATTTCAGGGACCTAAAAGGAAATGTGTAGAGAAAACATGAAAGTTATGAGTCATAAGAATCAGCATAAAAATAGTATTTAAATGTCTTTCCTAGACATCAGAGGCCATGCTGAGCAAACATACTAAATTTGTATCATACCACCCTGGTAAAGAAATTCCCACATATGGAACACCCAAGATAACCGTCATATTTAATATAAACTTGATTTTTCTAATGTTGCCTCCCAATTCAGATTCCCTTGGTTTCGGTCTTTGCCACAGTTTGAGTTAATTTTCAGGTGGCTAGAGGATTTCCTTTAAAAAAAACTTCCCTTTGGATACTTGCCCAAAAAATGAGATCACCAAATCATATGTCAGAAGGCTTGATAGGTAAAGAACTATCTTCTTTTTTCATGCACTTGAGTAGAATGCAATCACTAATTTTAAATTATTCTACTTTTAGCCCTGACCGGTGTGGCTCAGTTGGTTGGAGTGTCGTCCCGTGCACCAAAGGGTCTCGGGTTCGATTTCCGGTCAGGGCACATATCCAGGTTATAGGTCCAATCCCCAGTCCAGGCGCATATGGGAGGCAACCAACTGATGTCTCTCTCCCTCCCTCTCCCTCTCCCTCTCCCACTCCTTCTCCCTCTCCTCCCTCTCCTCTTCTCTCCCATCCCCCTCTTCCTTCCTCTCCCTCTATAATCAATAAAAGCACATGTCCTTGGGTGAGAATTTAAAAATAAATGAATGAATGAATGAATGCATTCTTCTACTTTTATATTGTGATTCAATATACTTCAGAATAAATTGTTTGTGTTTAGTTAAGAGTAGAGGATGGAGTGAATTTCAATTGACATGGTGTATTTATTTTGAAATATTTCTACTCTGTAGATGGAAATGCACAGTAACTGAATATCTCATCAAGTAAGTGTTTCAGTTTTATTTCACTATCTTCTCAGATGGTAGCAAGATTTAACTGGACATAAAGCAATTTGGGTCCAATTTTCTTTCAGATTATGGTACCAAATTAAAGCTTTGTGTGTGCCTATGTTTTTTAAGTATATAGCTTCTGTTATGGCTTTACACGCTAATGAATAGGCATTTACTGATTAAATTAGAATTCGGTTAACATGCCAAGTTGCTTTCCCTAGAGTTACTACACATTGCCTTTTTCTTTTTCTTTTTCTTTTTTTATCAGCATTGCATTCTAGATCTCTCATACCCCTTTAATGGGCTGAGATTAATCAGACAGCTGTGCTTCACTGCTCTGCAGTTCTTTCCCTGTGCAGTACAGTTTAACACATCAAAATATTCAGACTCTTTTTAATGAGCACGTAAAAGTTTCGGGTTTCTAAGAGTCTTGCACTGTTGATCTTATCTGAATATTTGATTTAACAGAACTTCAAAAAATCTATATGAAGAGAGCAAAAAGTTTACTTTCCACAGATGAAGCCTTTCCTCGAGGTTACTATACCCATAGCAGAACCAAGTTTGGTGCTTCAAATGCTGTCCTGGCTGCATTTGCCCCTGGCAAAAGGAATGTTAAAAAAGGCTAGGGATGGGATTATATCCCCCACTGTCTTGAGCTAGTAAGTCCTCAGTGAATATTTAGTGAATGAATGAGTGAGTGGCCTCTTGCCTTTGAGTTCATTCACTTCCTCTGGACAGTGAATCAGATGGATCTTCTGTGAGTTAGGGCTCATTTTATATGAAAGCTGATGTTTCTTCTGGTGAGAAGTAGAAAGGAGATTCTAAAAGTAAACACTCCTTAGCTATGGACTATAACTATCAGTTGCTTCCAGTATCAGCCATTTTTCTTGATAGGTTCTGACATTAAATTGTTAAATATATCAGGAAGGCATAAAATTACATCTGGCCCCTGAAGGAAAAGAGACACAATAGCACTAGGGTGCCCCAGGAAAGTGCACACAGATCTGGATAAATCATGAACTTTAAATCCTCTTACACACTGTACAAAATACTTGGTGCTCTAGTATGGATAGTTACCTAGTAAAAAATGGCTACTCTTAAGGCAAAAGCCTAGGAGAAACTTCTGTTCTATCACTTAAGAAAAGACACACCTCTCATTTGGAACTAAATTTATTTTTCTGTGTAACCCCTGAGGAATCAGGAAAAAAAAAATTATCCTATGTTAGTTCAGACTCTTTAAACAGCCACAGACCTTCTTATCATTTTTTGAATGCCTGTTGTTGCAGAATTCTCTAGCTTCTTTGGAAGGATACAAAAGAAATAGAAGACATGACTTATTCCCTTAAGGAATTAATTATGGGTGGAAAAATTTTTTTGAATGCACAGAAGTGAAAAGGATTTGTTTACCTTGTAGTCAGTATGCTTTATCCCATTTGTGTGTTTATCAACCACTCCATTTTTTAATAGATAGGTGCCTCAAAAGCAAGTAATACTAATTTTTGTTCACCTAATGTACATTGTAATAGCTCAGAATAATTGGTAAATTAAATAGTAGTAGAGTGAATAAAAAGAAAAAAGATCAATATAAGTTAATTAGAATTAATCCAGAATTGTCTGCAGGAGTCAATTGCCAAGATAGTCAATTCTGATTTTCTCCTGAGTCAAAAAACTGTTGACACAGGAGTGTACATTGATCTCTGCATAGATTGCTTTTAAGTCAATTAACAAGTTTCTCTGTGCTTAGTGGTACTAAAGAGCTCAGGGTCAGAAGGTACTTGGTGCTCTGCCATAAACAGCAGATTCCTCCAGCGACCAAGAGATTTTAATTGTGTTGTAGTTGTGTGGCCCATTGTCATATGCAGTTGTTGCCTTTGTCACTGAAAGGAACTAAAAAAATTTTTTTCTCATTTCCTTACAGATGACTGAACCTAGAAGACTCTTGCTTCTTCCTGCTATCAGTGGGTTCTTCATTTTTCTCCTAATCTAATTATAGAAAGATAAACTGTCTGTGACTTTCAAACTGACAGATGCCTTTTTTTCTCTCCCCCCTTTTGAGTCCTCATTTGATGCAAGAAAGACTCCGCATAGTTTTAAAACTATTTCAAATAAACCATTGATGTAGATAGCTTGATAGTTTGGTCAAGTCCCTGAGCCCCAAGATCAGAAAGCACATCCCATTCCACATTAATGAAACATAATTATTTAAAGAATCTTAAAGAAGCCATCAAATGCAGGCAAGAAACTTGGGTTGGAAAAAGTAACTGAGTATTTGTGTTCTCTGACATATATGGACCAAATTCTTTTTCCCATTAGTATGAATGGACCCATTTGATCAGTGCATCTGTTTATCCAGGGTCACCAGATACTGATAGCATTTATAGGGCAAAATGCCCCATTCTTGTTAGAAACTTGAGGACATCGTCTGTCTAAATATTTCCAACCTAGGGGAGGTTTCTTGTATTTATCTCTCCTACATTACAGCTAGACGTTGTACTAGTTGTCAGACTAGATATAGATTATATAGGAGTGAAGATTGGAATGGAGGGGAGGAACAAGTGTACATGTGGAGAAGAGAGAGAGGCTTTCCACCTGTGTGTGAAATTTAAGTTTCAAAGTTGAAATGTGTGAGGGCCCTGCTGACTACCTGGGATGTATGTGTAATAAGTTAGATTTTGAAACATCCAAAGCTCTGGATAGCTTAGCATCTTGTTGGCCCTTACAAGGAGACTTCAAAGTCTCCCCAGAGATTGTTTGGATTGTTTTTGTGTGGTTGTTTTCAAGTTTGACTTGGTTTGGTTTTAAAACTGTCTGGCATGGGAGGGGTTTGTGATCTGGTATAGATAGGGACTTGGATGAAGCATACTGACAATCCCAAAAGGGATCTCTCTAGCAGAGTAACAGATAAGGGGAAGCAGGCCTTCTCCCACCAGTTTTACTCAAAATTCTTCCCTGATGAAGCAGAGCTGTCTGTTTCTTTAGTTCCAAACTCTAAAAACAGGTTCAAGATAAGCCCCAGTACAGTAGTAGTTTGCTTAGCTGCATGATCTTAAGTGAATAACTAGGCCCTTTCTCCTGAGAGGGTAGTGAATATACTGAGGAGGGGGGAAAACACCCTTTATGCCCCAATCCTGGTCACTTATGTTTGTGTACCAATCAATACCTCACAAACACTTAATTTAAAAATAGTCTTATTACTGGAAAATGCAAAACCCTTTTGATTTCATCTGTTCAGGTGATGACAGAACAAAACTATCATCTTCTATACTTGTAACCCAGAACTCCCACCTAGTTTAGGAGAAACAAGCAGGGACATGAGTCTCATTGCAAAGAATTAAACAGAAAGTAGTTACTTTGTGTTTTTATTTAATATTTAAAGAGGTGATAGGCTAACATCTAACATTTATGAAAAGCAAATGAAAACACTGATTTTGTTATTTTAGGAAAACAGCTCTTTGCTCATGACTACTAGAATTTAATCACAATACATCTGACCCTTTGGAGTATAACACTCACATGGGAGAATCACTGGCTGCCTGTGTTATTAGCTCAAAAATAGACAATCCTGTTGTTTCTTTGGTAAACTAATGATTAAAGCAACCAATTTGTCTGATCCAGGAGCTTTCAGAGACTGCCTGGGATTCTTATTGGGCCTAGGATTCACTAGTCTGGACTTTATTTCCTGGAGATTTTTAGAGATTCTCAAAAACTAGAACAAAAGTGACTATTTACTACTTCTGTCAGATATTGGGAGGAGACGTTTACTAATCTTTGAGACTCTCTTTTGGGGATGATACCCTCCCTTTGGAATGTGAATAGTGGAAGATAAAGAATTGAATACTCTACCTTAATTTCAGTTACAGTCAGGTGTTATGGTTAAATACAGAGGTGTTTTGAAACCTTAGTCCAGAGCCTCTGAGTCCTACATTTTGATCTTATGTAGGACTTCCAGATTCTACCCCAAAGAGAGGATTTGCTTTTTGAAAAATTGCCTTTCTCTATAGGGGTTCTAGAAGTGCCATTGTGATTTGCAAATGTTATTACCAGGAATAAACAAATGTAAGTAATAAAGGACCTTTAGCTCTCCTGGTAGTTGTACCTGAGCTAAACAAGGAAAGTATGCAGATTTAATTTCAAATAATGCATCGCAGTACCCTTTCATTGGTGAGGGAGAACAGTAGCTGCTTGTGTTAGTCTCTTAGACAAAATGTGTGTATCTATATTGGCATTCTTAGACTCCTTTACTTGTACTTTTCACAATTCACATTAAGCTCAAAAGTAGGCAGAAACCAAGGAGATAACATTATACTTATTACCTTTTTTAAAGATGCAGGACATAAAAATCAAGTTGATTTGTATACTATAATTTAAATGATCAAAGCAGGACTGGCCTTGCGAAGAAAAGACCTCTGAGAAAACATTTCTTGTATCAATACAAGGGGTAGAATAAGGAAAACTACCTAAATTCCAGGAGAAAAATACTGTAGTGACGGCTCATTCCTTTGATCACTATCTTCCTGGTACTGTTAAGCTTTGGAACATTTTCGTATCCTACTTTACAGTCATGGCCTTTTCAGAGGCCACTAGAGACATTAACCTGTTATAACAACAGTCTCAGCCGACTTTGTTCCAGCTATAGCAGTCTGAAGAATGCACACTTGTGTGTGAACAGGGGATTAGCCCTATACATAGCCATTCTACTGCCTGATGCAGCTCAGTTTTATAAACTTAGTAACTGGTGAGACATATAAAATCTAAGATTGTATATAAATAGGAAGAACAGCATCCTAGGCGAACAGTAACCGTAATAACAACCATATGGTCAGAAGGTTTGCTTTTGTGTTTATCTTAATTAAAGACTGTTTTATATGAAACTAAAATAGTGTTAAGAACCTTTGAGGAAATGTGAAGATAAGTTTAGTATTTTACTTTGTTATACACACACACACACACACACACATAAAGAAAGGAAATAAGTCCAGTTTATATGAAAAGCTGAGTATGAATCCAACCATGCCTCTTAATTGTTATTAAAATACTGAAATAAAGTGTGCTTTCCTGGTTTGTCTGATTGGGTTTTATTTCCTCAGGCTTGGAGTTCAGATTTTCAGTGGACGGGGTTATTTAGGTCTTTGTGTTGGTTTTCTCTGGAGTGGAACTTTGCAGCAGAGGTGCAAATTGAAAGTGATGGGAAGTCTTGATCTTGAGCTTAGAAGCTCCACTGAGATATCCTTTTGTTGAATTGGCGATTTCAACGGAAGAATCAGTGTTTTAACTTTACAAAACCTTGAAAAATAAGCATTGATATGGTTCCACTAGGTATGTAACTCTGACATCCACCTATCATATCTCATATATTCTTAAAACTGGAGGGAGCTTAGAGAACACCGAATCCAAAACTTCATCTTACATATGAAGAAACAGGCCCTGAGAAAATGTGCAACATGTCATCCTATATAATAAAGAGCTAATATGCAAATGGTCATCACATCCTCACGCCTTAATGGCTCAGACACTCAACACTGGGGAGAGAGGAATGGGGACCAGCCAGGCACAAATGAGCTTGTGAGAGAGGAATGGGGACCAGCCAGGCTGTGGCCCTGGAGGGGGACAAGCCACCTATCCTGCAGTCCCAGGCACCTGCAGCTGCAGCCCAGGCGAAGCTGCCTGCCCACAGTCCCCTGCGGCTGCGGCTGGCCCCAGGGGAAGCCTGCCCGGGTCCTGGGTGCCTGCGACCAGCCAGAGGAGAGAATCCTGGGTCCCGGGTGCAGGACGAGGCAGAGGCAGTTAGGGGCAATCAGGCCATCAGGGGAGCAGTTAGGGGCGATCAGGCAGGCAGGCAGAGGGGTTAGGGATGATCAGGCAGGCAGGCAGGCAGACAAGCAAGCGGTTAGGAGCCAGTGGTGCCAGATTGCAAGAGGCAGTCAGACATCCCCCGAGGGGTCCCGGATTGGAGAGGGTGCAGGCCAGGCTGAGGGACACCCCCCACCCATGCATGAATTTTGTACACCAGGCCTCTAGTCTTTTAATAAAGGAATGAGAATGATAAACACAAAATTCAAGATAGTGGTTATCTCTGGGGGAGAAGTAGGGGGGATGGGATGAGGGAAAAAAATGCAGTGTATTAGTAGTATTCTGTTTATTAAGTTGGGTGATGAATTTCTCAGTGTTTATCTTATGCTGCTTATGTATGTATCAAATACTGTATAATTTTAAAACAGTCGAGAGTAATTGCTACTAGTAAAATTGTTATACAGTGTTTACTATAGGTAAGCCACTGTTCTTAGTGTTTTAGAGTAAGGGGGGAAACAAGCCCTGAAAATTTTATCACAGCTTGTCAGTAGTGAGCTGTGACCATGACGTGGGACTTCTGGTTTCTAATTTACTGCTTTTGGCTTCTATAACCATCCTGCTTCCCTAAATGTTGATTTTGCACTCAACCTCTTATTCTTTCAGGCTAGAGTTTCTAGACTCATTTTCATGTCTACCAGCTTGGACTCCATGGTCAGTCATTTTAGTAGCCTAAATTATCACCCAGGGTTCCCTTGACCCCACTGTTGTCCACTGTCTTGCTTCACAAATTCCAAAGTCAAGTGAAACCCACTACCTCTTACTCTGTTTATTTTAAGAGTATTGTGCGTAGTGATAGGAAATCACATAAATATGCCAACTGACTCTGCTGCAGATGTATGATTTCTTAACCCAGGCACTCATTCCTATTTGGCTTATTCAGATTTGCCTGGTTACCCTTGCACCCTTTTTATTGTTCTCAACTTTATAGTCTCTACTTCCCACCACCACTTTCAGCCAATGGCTTTGCCTATTACACGCTAGAGAAAATACTGGTCATCAAACTTAGCTCCTCCTTTTTTCCATTTCTAGATCTAACTCTTACAGCACCCATCTTTTTCTTTATTACAGGGGTATACTTCTTCTTCAAGCTAACTCATCCTTCTACCTGTACTGTATCCCAGCATATTATCTACTGATACCTAACAAACAAATTGCCCAGCTGGTGTGACTCAGTAGTTAAGCATTGACCTATGATTTTTAGAGAAGGGAGAGAGAGAGAGATAGAAACATCAATAAGAGAGAAACATCAATTGGCTGCCTCCTGCACA